CCTCCCCCTCGCTCAGCTCAGGCCCCGAAAAACGACTGTCTCTCCACCTAGGTGTGAGTAGATGGGTCCTGCTTTGCATCGGCCCAGGTGGTAACCCAGGCACCCCCTCCATCTCCTCTGACTCATCTGACTCGACTGCAGTCGGCAAACAGCTGGATTTTGCTGAAGGACTGCATGTTTCACTTAAGCTTTGCTTAACAACCATGGGGGAAACGTTTATAAAAATCAGGCGCAAACTTAACTGCTTCATGAAAATGAGAGCACCAGCTACCATAGCCATTTCCAAACAACAAAGCCATTGAAGTGTGTAATGGTTTTAGCCCTTTTTTGTGTGAAAACAGTGAAGAGGAATACGTGCGATAAGGATTACTGTTCCAATGAATAGAATTGTTTGTGCGCTACCAACCATCAAAGCATCTGTAGTGGCTAGATAATAGTATCATAAAGCTTCCCTCGCTTTATGCTAGGATTATATTCTCAGCCCTCTTTTCAGATCCTTTTAGCGTCCAGACAGAAACAGAGTGACTGCTCTCAACTGATCAAAATTCACCCAATCTTTGCCCAGTCCTAGCTTACAATGAAAATGAATGAGAATAATCCACAATAGTTTTCAGAATGATGTTGTCAGGGGTGCAAGTAATACACCCATGGCAAATTGAACTCTGAAGCAGGTAGATTCCTCAAAGAATAATTTATTTGAATATATCATATTGGCACAGACCGGTGAAAACTGACTCTAAAAGTTCCTGTGGTTTTCATGATTAAAAGTAAGCGTTTTTTCCCCTTCCCCACCAATCAGTCACATGGTCCAATCGACTCTGTCCAGTTGTTTGGTAACATCACTCCTTTCTTCAACCAGGTGTTCGGGATGGCCTTGGTTCCCAGGGGAAAGTATTTTGTTTTAGCTACAAAACTCCCATCTATCTCTATTCCCCCTTATCTCTATCCCCCCTATATCCCTCATCTCCATTGTGGCAACACTGAAACCTCAAAATGGCCTCAGCCAGGCCATCTTCAGAGTTGACAGGTGTTTGATTTCAGGATTACACTGAAGGACCAACAGCAATTTAACCTCTCTAGAGGCTTGGTTCTGTCTTCATACCCAGAACAGCAGCAAAGAAATCTCCAAAAGTACAAATATTGCTTTAGGGACAAGTTCCATAAGTCAATAGCTGCTGGTTTTCATTACCTATTAGTTTACATTCCAAAATGATTATACCTAGAACTTTAGCTGTTTTATGTGCCCCTGCATTGCATATTTGGGAGACCCATACCTGCTGCAGTGCCAATGAAAAGTCTGGCCCAATTTAATTGGAATAGTGAATTTCTGTCAAATGAAATTTGTGACTCTGATTCTACATTCCCGTTTGGAACAATGGCACATTTTTAGTAGCACAATTCAAATTACTTAATGGACCCATCATGATGACTGGCACTATTCATTATAACGTATGACAGCAAGGGGCACCTCATACAATACGTGCTGTGCAAAGGTGGGCAATTAATTTTCCCAAGATGCCATATGAGAAACAGGGATTGTTGTGGAAGGCCAAACAAATACAGACCGTGAAGGTACGTAGGCACACATGCTAAATTGAATAAAAATTGCAGTCACCTTCAAAATAAAAGCAATGCACTTGTATTGCATGCATGGCCCATGCTTATATTTGATTTCTAATTTCCGACTGATCTCATGTAAACCCAACAGGGACAGCCAAAGGGCTGGATGTGGCCCAAGGGCCATAAAATGCCCAAGTGTGCTGTACAGTATCAAATAAGTAGTTCATTTCCTTTGTTAAAAATGTTTTCCATTTCAGTAAGTTGATACATAATAGCAACCAAAATATAATCAAATGCACAAATGAAGATTTAAGTTACATGTTTCATGAACACAAAATATTGCTGCCTTGTTGGTTAGGCTTTGTTTTCTTGTGTAAAGGGTATGGGATAGAATGTTGTGTCCAATCAGTTTGTCAGCTCATATAAATGTATTATCTATCTGAAGGATATTTCCAATGCCTTCAAAAAATATAATATAAAAAATTAAGCCAAAGGTTAGGAAAAAAGAAGCAAAATATTTCAACAGAAATCAAAATAAAAACCACTAAATGTATACTTACCATTTATATGCAATTTCTTGAAACCAGAATGAAAATTCAATGTGAAACAAGGAATATATATGCAAGTATTGATGTAGAATTAATGTAGAGCTACCAAAAACAATTGTACTATTCCTTGAACAACTCTTGAACATTCTGAAGACAAATGGATAATGAAAGGAATATTTAACTACCATGCTCAGCTGATTAATCATGGCTTACTGAACAAACCAAACCACAGTAGCTGGTTGCTACAATTCACTAAAGAGCCATGGTGGAGCAGTGGTTAGAATGCAGTATTGCAGACTAATTTCTGCCCAATGCCAACAGTTTGATTCTCACTGGCTCAAGGTTGACTCAGCCTTCCATCCTTCTGAGGTCAGTAAAATGAAGACCCAGATTGTTGGAGGCAAGAGGCTGACTCTGTAAAACTCTTAGACGGGGCTGTAAAACATTATGAAACAGTATATAAGTGTTATTGCTATGTATAAAGTAGCTTTGAAGAGATGTAGTGTTCTTTGGCTTCAAAGACCAAAAGATATCTCTGGCCAGGCAGGAGTCTCCATGTTATCTGTCTACAAGTGTTATTTCATCATCTGTTTTTCCCTAGATCGTGCAATGACAGCCCTCAGTTGTTTCCAAAATGCTAAATGTACAGCACTCGAGCTTAGTGCTTTGTGTGTCTCAGCCAATGTACATGGTTAGAGGCAAGAGGGGAAACCAAAGGATTTCCATTTTTATTTCAAGGCAATAACCTCTTTTTCACTATCTTTATAGAATTTTTATCTAGTTTCACCCAGAAAGTAAAAGTATATGCAGATGATAAGTTGTTTCACCCACTAGAAGGAATTATATGGAAGTTTAAGGTGGGGATTGGCATTATTTAGAATAAGTGGTTGTATTTTAAACATAATCTATAGAGGACTAGAATAGGTTTCAATGTTGTTTCTCTACATTTTTGTGTATGTTTAAAGCCAACCCAAATAATGTAACCCAACTTGTTTTCCTTTTTCGGGCTTGGTTCCTTCCTATATGAGCAATGGATTGCAGTGTTCCTCCGATGTAGTAATTTGTCAGTCATTTTAGCAGTACAATTCTTGATGTTGGGAGTTGGGAACTGCATTTGCAAAATTTCTAGATAGCAGAACACAAGGCACCTGAATTTTTGTGATCAAACATGCTATTTAGGTCTTTCAGTATATATATTTCACTGGAAACATCAGATGAACAAATGGTCCTCTTTATTTAATGAAAACAAAATGCTTAGAATATACCCACCACATAATCAAGAAAACATAATGCTCTTTAGGAAGTTTCAATTCGTTTGAATACTGCACATTTAACTGCAAGCACAAGGCAAAATGAAAAGAAACCCTATTAAATGAAAAGTAAACAAGTTTATTTCTGTAAATTAAACTGCACAGACTAATCAGTCAATTTTAAACCACCTGATTACCATTCTCCCCCACTGACATTCACAGACAAGGATACAAATATCACTACTCCTGAATTGCTAAAGCAGAAAAACATGCAACAGTGGCAGGAATTTGTTTTACACTAAAATCAGCAGATTTGGGGGGAGACATATAAGTCAAGGCTTAATATTTTGCTTTATTTTTCTTCTAAACTCTCCTTTGCTCTCATCTTTGTCAATTACTTCCCTTCACACCACTCTTCTGTTCGGCATCATACCGGCCCAATTCTCTTCCGCATCCAACAGAAACTTTATCCCGTTTCCTAATGCCTTCTGATCAGGAATGGAGTTTGGCCTGATTAATATTATGCTTGTTTCTTGTTTAGAAAGACAAACAAGGTCGGACGTTCACGGGTCGAATGAGGAATAAAGCCCAATTTTCAGATATACTATGGCAAAACAAACATGCACACAAAACAATTCGGTGAGAATATTTGGTACTGGAAATCTGAGAATGAAGATGGCCAATACTTGCTGCTGAAGCAAGGTGCTTTAGACACTTTCCAAATTGGCTGCATTGCATGCTATCTACTATTGGTGATATCAACTTGTAGGGTTCACTTTGATCTAAGCTGCCACCTGGGTAATTTAGTGACACTCTCTGTCTAG